CCGCTCACGCGCGTGCTCCACTAAAAAAACCCCGCTCATCGCGTCCAAATCGTGCACGTTCCGTGTTGTCCTGTAGCAGGCACCTTCGATGTCGGGGAAACGATCTTCAATACTCCGAAAAGAATCCCACCAGACTCCTTTGCCCCTCCAACAGAGGGATGTCCTTGTCCTTTTTCCTTTTCGTCATTTCAAGCGGTAAAAACTCTCGATCTTCTCTCGAAATTATTAATATTTTTGGAAATGACGGCAAGATGCCCCCCTGGCGGAAACGCTGGACACGCGTGACTTTTATTTTTTAGTTCTGAAAAGTCCCAATAGTGAGAAAAGTCAGAATTCTGAAATTTGTATTTGTTTGAATTCAACACACTTAGTTAAAAAAACTATTATTTTTCAACGAGTGGGATGCCGTCTATAAACCTTATTTCCTAATCACTAGATATTTAGTTTTTAAGTGAAAGACAATACATTTAGGGGTAGGTTATTTCTATATGGGGAGTAAGAAGCTTGTAGTGACTCGTTACCTTAGCGTGGTGAAGATCCACGCCGTACATGGACAGCTTCTTGGCATTTTCCAGGAAGTGTATCTCAGCTTCGGCAGGTGTCATCGCCCTGATAGAGTAAACAGATCAGGGTAAATACGATTATTTATAGCAAATAAAAAGCTTTCAGACCAATGTGAATATGCAACTCTTAAGAGGTAGAGATATAAAAACAGGGATAAATCAGAGTTTAATTGTATAAAAGCTTTTGGAAAATTGTGGTTTTTTTATGGATGCTTTTAACCAAAGCAAAAAACAGAGTACTTTGAGCACATCTGTTTTAGCATAGAGGCGTCTTTGGAGAGACATTAATCTTTGCACTGTCATTGCCTTCCTGTTTCCAGTGGGCTACACAGGACGGCATCAAATTACCCACAAATCATTGTAATACAGGGACAATGAAGGGCTCAGACAAAATACAGCCAGCTATAAACATCAAAAGGAAAATACAAATCCAGCGTCTGGAGACACGCAGTCTTTCAGGACAGATTATTATTCCAGGCTGTAAAAATTCCCACAGGTAGACGGTGAGAATCGGGCTGAAAATGCCTTTATTTTACGTATGAAAAAGGTTCACACGTGTGCAACAATGGCTTATTTGTTCTCAAATTGTTCAATCATTCTTAATAAAGTTTGAATGGTGTACAAATCTTTAAAAAGAGATGTAGGATTATCATTAAAATCTAATTATAACAATGTTTCCGGTTTGTTTGCCTACATGTAGTTATCATGCCACTACCAACTTCATCAAAGCAGCATAGCTCAGATCAAGCAGAAAACCTCCACTTTTAGAGTTTTAAAATGTGATCTTGGTTATTTAGTCAAGAGTATTTCATTGATTTACACATTGATCCATCCCTACATCAAAACATGTTAGAAATCAACACAACAACTGTTTAGTAAAAGGTTGCCAAGACTCACTTGTAGGTCTTGTGGAGCTCCATGACCTTCTCCTCCAGCTCTTTGGTTTGGTTTGGTGCGAAGCGCAGCTCACTGATGTAGTCGCTGCCTAACTCCTCGGGGTCGTAGTCTCCCAGCTCAGACTGCACTGTGTAGGACCCGAGCACCGTGTGGGTGGCGAAGGAGCAGGGCAGCCGGCCCGACACCACATCATCCCTCAGCTGCAGACACAGGTAGTACCTGAGAGAGGAAGCAAGGCAGAAAACGAAATGGTTATTGTTTAGCCTTGTTAATACTACTTGCTGGAATAATCTGTTATTTTACTCGACTAAATACTGAGCCATCACTTTGACTCTAATCATTAGATTCAAAGTGCACTAATACACATTTTTAACCAGGGAAACTATTTAAAGTGGACCTATTAAGCTCTCTTTCAGGTTTATATTTGCATTTTGTGAGATGCTTCCATCCTTTCATGTTCAAAAAGCTCTTTATTTTTCTCATACTGCCTGTTGCAGCACCTCTTTTCACCCTCTGTCTGAAACCAGAGCCCAGTCTGCTCTGATTGGTTAGCTGGACCGCTCTGGTTGTGATTGGTCAACCACTTAGAGATGTCCCGTCCCTTAAAGGTGGGGTAGGTCATTTTGAAGAAACCAGCTCGAGTGCGCTAAAATTTGAAAATACACAGCCGGAAAAAATCTGCCACTTCCTTACAGAGCCCCTCCTCCAACACACACGAACGCGCACATGACCAATGCCAAGGCACA